CTCGATGATATCTTTAGCTCACTTTCCAAATTAGCATGAGACAATTCTATCTCCATCGACAAATACAAATGACAAGAGGCCAACGATGTTATAGATAAAAAAAAGCAGTCCTTGATTTAACTGAAAATAGAACATTCTCACAGCTATGCAACTAGATGTATTTCTTTGTGAATTGTATTAAAAATTTAACGGTACCATTTAGTCGATCTATCTGATTTATTGTATTCTATTTTCAATTGCGAAACATAATGTCGACATATTTAGACTAACTATAAGCGCATTTTAATAATATGTTACAGCGTTCAGGAAAAAAGAATTTATTAATATATAAGAAAAAAATTATACAGTTCTCTTAATTTTTAGGCATTGATGTTTTATGTTTTTGAAATGCACAATCAAATTTTAATTTTTTTTCTTGAATAATTCCTTTTTTAAATTCAACCCAACTCCATTTAAATGTTGATAAAAGATTTTTTTTTGTTATGATAATATTAGTTAAATATATAGTAAATAAATCATCTTCATCCGTTGCTTTTCGTATATGTTTTACTTCAAATAAAGTCCATGGTAAAATAAGCACTTCATTTTCATCTTCATATTCACTTAAACATGGTTTATCATTTGATATTCTTGTAAGATTAATAGCTTGATCGCATACATCAGGAAAATCGAATATAAGTAATACACTGAATTTCCTTTCATTATTTTTCTTTTCTAAATGTGCAAAGTGTTCAGCAACACAACGATTAATAGATGTTGAAGAAAATGAACGTGTTTGTAGCACTGTTCCTGGTGTTTCCATAGCCATTTGATATACTAATAATACTTCGTCTGCCATGTGCACACCACGATAAACACGGCCTTTAAAAAATCGTTCTTTTAGATTTGGTAAATGTATAAATAATGGTAAAGCTAATGGTAAACAATCTTTATGCAATATTCGATAAAATTTTGTTTCAAGTGTATATAAATGAAGTAATTGTTCAATTGCATTTTCATTTTGTCCATATTGCTTTATCAAATCTTCTATTTTAATATAATCATCAGAATTATTTATACTACATTCTTCCAATAAATTATTTAAACGTTTTAGTATTGCATAATGATTTAGTGGTTTATCAGAATGCAAATGATTAACACAAAAACGGGCCAAACGTGATTGACACATCGCTTTTGAACTTGCAGAATATTCGATTTCATGTTTCTTTTCTTCTTCAGTTTTGTATGCTTGTATAATAGACTTTTTGTCAAATGTTGTTGAGTTTTTATCATGGACTTTATTTGAAGTAAAACATATACGAAAAGCAACGGATGAAGATGATTTATTTACTATATATTTAACTAATATTATNTTATCATCATTATTTTCTTGATTATCGTCAACTTTAATTACATCAAAACATTCCGATGGATTTTGTTCGAAAAATCGCGAAGAATATTTTGATGATAAATTTAGTGTATCTTGGCGAAGAAATAATAAACGTGTAGATTCTTTATGTAATGCAGCCATATCATAAGCACTTTGATTTTGTGAATTAAGAAGAGATGATCGATAACACCCATGTTGAAGTAAAAGTTTAACAATGTTATCGTGACCTTGTGCAGCAGCAATATGTAAACATGTGTTTCCACCATAATGAAATTCTTGTCGATTTATATCGAGATGAGAGTATTTTGGTAAAAGATTTCGAACTTTTTCTTCATCACCATCACGACATGCTTCATATAAAGGAGTTATGGAATTCAAAGATGTTCGAATCGATGAATAATACACAGACGAGATGCTTTCTGTATTACCCATATACAATAAAAGAAATATACAGAGGAATAGACAATAGTCATGCTCCAATGCGCAGTTAATTATGTTTTGATATTTTATGCAAATACATGATATGCATAAGTCGTTAGTGTGCAATAGGAACATTTCCTCGAGGATCATTCGAAAAGGATGAACGACTATTTTCTTTGCGTAAATGAAACAAATTTTGACCGCATGTCAAATTTTGATAAAGAATCAACACTAAATAAAAGATCTTAGGATTTATCAAGTAAACATCATAGTACGCTAAAAAATAAATGTCTTTTATCAGTTAATGTACTAAGTCTGAACTCCTTCTTAGTAGTATCTCTACAATGTTTACTGGATAAAATGCTGCGAAAGATTTTGTTGGATAAATTTTTTGGAGGTTATCTTACGAGAAATGATCACCAACTGTTCAATCACTTTTGAGTCAAGACTAAGTGCTTTATGTAAAGCCAGATGAGCTATGAANGCAATGTATTTTAAAGGGGTTTGAAGAAAAAATGAAAAATCTATAGAAAATTCGTTTTCTTGATTGCAGTGCAAATCAAAGAAATGACTATACTATCTAGACAAAAGTGAAATATTTAAAAAACAAAAGTTATACTTTTGAAGCGCAATGTCTGCTGGTTCTAATGGCATATAGAACAGGGCTATATCTTTTAACAGAAAAAAGTAGATAGACTTTCAAAAATGTTGACAAGATGTCATTTTTTGGATATTTTGGTCGATATTTTTTTAAAAATTCCATGGATAAATTTTCGCAAAGTGATATCAAAAATAGGTTCAGTAGACGCAGTTTTTCACGAGGAATCCGAATATACCATTTTTAAAATCCCAACAGAACGAAATTTCTATTAAAATTTCAAGAAACATTGAAGATATCCATATTTTTAAGAAAAACGTGATTTTTCAACTGAATTGAAAAAATTGCGAATTTTTTCACATAATCATTTCGAAAAAAATTTAAAAGACATATATTCTTACTCAGCTCGATGAGCTCTATCTAATGGTGTATAAAAGAAAGAAAAAAAAAATTTGCTTGAATTTTGCATTGTTCGCACCTTATTAGTCCATTGGCTTTTTATTATTGGCCATACTAGATGCATCTATTGGTGTTTTCGTAACGAATACAATAAAGGATTATCATTATGAGTCATAATCGTGCCTAATAAAATAAAATTTTTCTTTTTTTTAGGCCTTGTCTCCACTATAAAATTTAATACTGAATTAAGGAACTTGATTGGTTGAAAATTTAATTCGCATTTAATGCGCTTTCGAAAGCGCATTAAATTTAATGCCCCAATCAAATGACATTGTCTTGTCTAATGAAAATGATATGATAAACCTCCATAAAATTGCGTGAAGTAAAATTAAAAAAAATTATATGTAAATAAAAATATATAAAAATATTAATGAAACTAGATCAAAAGGAGAAGTAAATATTAGTAATAATAAAGATTATAATAATTAGGTGATACACTATCGAGGCGGATAAAACAGAACAATGGCTACTGACAGTTTGTCATATCTGTCAAAACTGAAAAGAGTATCAAATCTACCAATTTCGTTCAACATCTTGGCCATATATGAGGATATTCAGCGAAAAGAGCGTATTTTCGAAATGACTGATATTTGACTGTCAATTTTCGAAAAATTAGCGTCTCATTGAAAATGTTTTAAACTTTCTTCCAGTAAAAAGGTTTTTCTACTTTCATTTTCGACTGTATGTCAGCTATCAGTAGCAGGTTTTCCGGATATTATTAAATAAAACTTATGTATATATTAAAAAACACTCTCATGGGCACATCTTATTTTGATTTTTGATACGAAATACAGTAATATTTTTTTAACATTTACCACGAAAGTTTAAGATGAAATCTCAATGTGTTCGAATAATTATTCCTTCGAATAAACAAATTCAGCTTCTTGCACCAATGCAACAGGAAATATTGCAACATCCACGATCATGTGTACCAGCACAAGTTCGTTTGATTACGTCAAATGCTTCTGTTGTTAGTTCATCTGCTATACCTTCTACCTTGAAAAATAATGCTGCATTACGCACACCACCAGCTTCATTGAATACCAATCAACCAATATGTTCGACAATAGTCGCAGCATCTTCAAATCAAGAACCACCTCAAATATTATCTACATCTGCAAGTGCTTCATTAGAAAATACTTTTGTACATTGCGATTCAATAATAAATATAGGTAAAGATAATGCCTTTACTTAATTGTACAAAAAATGAATTCATTCTATTAAAACAATGTTTACAGATAATAACTCGACCGAAACTGTGTCATCATCGTCAATGTCCATGAAACGACATCATTCCTCCTCATCTCAATCGAATAAAACATCTGTTACAAAATCGTTGTCAACAAGTGAAAACGAAGAAAACTCTTAGTCATTTTTTATTGAAAAAACCAAGCAGTTTTTCAATTTGTTTAGGCCCAAAAAAAAACAAACGAAGTAAAAATTGGTCAGAAGAAGAGACAGCTGTTTTTATTAATATTTGGAGTGAGCATTATGAGAGTTTAATGAGGGGCGGAACAAGAAATACCAAGATTTATCATGCAATGGCAAAACAATTGAATGAGTTTTTATCACCACGAGTAATGACAGGTGCAGATGTGAAGGCAAAAATAACGAATCTCGTTGCTGAATATAGAAAAAAAAGAAAAGAATCAGGCAAAACAGGTAGTAGTCCGTCGTCGTGGCGATATTTTGAACAAATCGACAAACTTCTCGGTAAAGAACAATGTTTTTTTCATTATAGTATCATTTATACCTTTTATTTATCTCGGCGACTAGGTGAACGTCCTTTTAATGACGAGAGTCTTATTTCTGATTCAATATCTCTTGAAGAAGAACAATTTCTTGAAGAAATTGAAAATGCTTCAGCTTCTGATTTGAATCTAAATTCGTTAACAAAAGATGATGATGATGATGATAATATATCCAATTTAATCAAAGATATTGAAGAATCTACAAATAATTCTGATCATCGATCATGCAATTCAAAAAGTCCATCTAATTCAATATCTATACAAAAAAATACGACCTCGAACACGTCTGACATGTCGAACAAAAAAAGTTTATCATCAAAAAAGAAGAAAGTGGCAGATATGCGGTAAATAAATGTTTTGTATCATCAATAGTTCACATTATCCGCTACTTTAATTTTTAGTATAGAACTTATTCGACAAATGATCGACAGAATTGATGGTGCTAATGAAATAGCTACTAAAGCAGAATCAAAGGCATTGCTTTTATTGGAAAAACAAACAAAATTACAAGAAGAGAGTTTGAATAATGAGAAAGAATTTTTGAACGTATTTAGAAGTATTGCAAACAGTTTTAATACACCACGATAAATATTATTTTATGATTTATCTTATGTTCTTCCTCGTTTTTATTAATATGCATAAATGTAATTGATAAAAAAATTGAATATTATAGTTTGTTTAATATCAGTTTATTAGTTTTATTTTTCTATATTCTTTCAAATTATTATTTCTGTGTTTATTAATAATAATTTTTTAAATATTGATACGCATCTAGTGTTTAAATTGTTCTAGTCTAAATATTAATGTAATATTTTATCTTTTAACTCATCATCAAGCAATTTTTTCCAGAGTATTGTAAATGTTCTCAGTAAAAATATTCTAATGAATTATATAGTTACAATTAATGTTATATTATAACCTGTTCATTTTACGTTAATCATAATAAAATATTTGCTTTATCATTACAGAGAAATTTTCGTTCATAAAGAGTAGTGTTTGCTATTTTCATGTTGTTATCATGTTTAAGAGCCATTGCCTGTAAGAATCACGGACTTTGGGAAGTGACACCCCTCAGAACTGCCTGAAAACTTCAGGGTATAGAGAACAAGTTGTCCACCTTAAAAGGGGAGGTTTGAAGAGTCGGTGAACACATGAGCGTGTAGCTGATAGTGAGATCATTACATCTATGTATCATGAGCTAGTACTTGTGTTGAATTTTAATGGTGAAATATGAGATCTTATGGAAAAACAGATTAAATTCTTAATTGTTGTCCACGTTAG